TCATCATATTATTTTAAAGACAGGAACACAATTTTTATATAATAAATCAATTTTTTAGTTTTTAGAAATTAACTAAGTGAGCCTTATATTTAAAATAAAAGAAATAGGTATGCATGTAGTCTATGCACATGTTTGTGTATTTGTGAAAAGACAGATAAAAAGAAGTGAGAACCTTGTGAATTTTTCAAAGACAGAGTAATAACTCCAAGACGATCTGAATCCGAATCCTAATCCTCAATTCTGTCATTATACAAAGCAACCTGGGATCACTAAACCCACGAGACCACGAGAACCGTGAATTTTGCGATATTTTCCCTGTGATCCCACCAGATCTCGCTGCCTGTTTCGCGATCTTCTCTATTCTCAGCAGCCAACTTTCCTTCTTTTTTTTTTTTTTAATAGGGAAAATGAATCAGTCAGTCCCTGTAGTTCTTCTATTCAGTTTTGATCCCCATAATTTTTTTTTTATTTAATTCTTATTGCTTGCACAGTTATAAGAGTTAGTCCTTCTGTGTGTGAAACCTGAATCTGCCGTTAATTCAAATTAACCGTAGGTGACGTGGCACTGGATGAAATCAGAGTACAGCAGTCCATTTTTCTCCTCCATCACCTTCTCTGCCTCCCTCCTCCACCATCCTCTTTATCTCTTCTTGCGGAAGCTTTACTGTCTTTCAGATTCATCATTTTCTTCTCACAGCTTTAACAGGGGTTCTGAAAGTAAATACACGGAAAATCTAAAATGAGAGAGATTAAAAAGGATTAAGATCTTAAAATTATGAATAAAATAAATGTCGACGTACTCTTATGCTCATAATAAGTAACAGAGTATTATGTTGATCCCATCGTGGCTTCTTTAGATTTTGTTTGTTGGCTGCCTTCTGATTCGTGTCTTGCTGCCTGCGCTGGCTTCTCCTTTGTGTCCTTTGTTCCAAATAAACAATTTATAAATGTGCCGACGAGCCTTGGAATGTGGTCGGAGGCCTAAGCTGGACCCAGACATAAAATTTGGATCGTTATTATGAGATTCGATTCCGTCGCAGATTTTGATTAAGCCTTTGTCTCCCCCGACTTTGACCAATCATATATTTGTAGGCCAACACTGGGCATCTCCGCCATTATCAGGCTTACAAACAACCATAATTTTTCCTAACTTGAATTCTAGTACTTTCTCTCTCCATGTTGAGATCGCGTTGTGTCCGAACAAATCAAGGAACGAGTTTCATTACTTCATTATATCTGAACCGTTCATATCTCATTTAAACGGTACAGATTTAAAATATTTAATTAATCATTTTTAAATAGAATAACTATTTTTTGAAAAAATAATAGTTAAGGGATCATCACTATTTTAGATTCTATACATATTAAAATAATTATTTTAAATAAATAAAAATAAAAAAATCAAATATGTACTGTTCAAATGAGATATGGACGGTTCAGATCTGATTAGCTTATGATGCTCATCAAATGGATGAGTACCGAAACTGGTTCCAACAAATCAACAAGTAACATATGCTCCCTTTTTTTTTCCTGCTAAATCACATGTGGCAATATAAGATTTTGTTATATTTTTATTTTAGTTTTACATATAAAATCCCAGTCTACTTTGTCTCTCATATTTATATTTTTTTAAAGTAGTTCTTCTAGTAATGATAGTTCTAGCCAATACACTTAATCAGCAAGAATATTTTAGGAAAGACAACACCTATTTATTACAAAGAACTAATTTAACTTATTTTTTTAATCTCCTCAAATTAGTCAACTAACTCTTATAATTAGGACTGGAGGTAGTAAATTGGAAAAAAATATTGATTTTTTTATATTAAAAAGTCAATTATCATCAGAGAACTTCAAGATACATTGCCATAGTAGGGAGCATGCAGCGTGACAAGCGCTAAGGAAGCCATAGTTACATACACGCGTGATATACATACGTGTGTGTGTGTTTTTCCGTTTTTTTTATAAGCAACAACTCTATCTCTCTCTTGTCCCTAAATATAAGTAACATTTGTAAGTTGTATTAAATTTTTGAAGCGAATTCTCTATTTTGTCTTTATTAATTACTTATTTTAATACTGAATATATTTATTATCTCATTTCTCAAATCATCATCTCTCCATCACACATTCTCTTTTTCATAATTCTCTTTATTATAATTATTTTTTTTATACTCTTTCTTATACTCTCCCCTTATAAACAAGGATATTTTAGAGAAAGAACTTTTAATTTCTATATATTTATTGTCTTTAACTAATTTTAATTAACATTTTGACTTACGTGATGAGTTCTAGTGTTGCTCATAAAAAGAGACGGAAGGAGTATAAAATATACTCGCACCCCCCATGATCTTATTTAAAACACATATTTAGCTGAATCACATAAATTAAGAAAAATAATTAAAATTAGTTGGTACTTTTTTGTTGTTGCAAACCCTGATTAAAATTATTAAAGATGCACGTGTCGCATAACGGATTGAGCAAGCGCGAAAGCCTTTGCCTGCTCATTTGCACTTTGCTTGATCACTTTTTTTTTTAACACACAGGGTTAAAAATCCTGTTTTCAGCAAGGAGCATATAAAACAACTTATAAATGCTAGATGCATCTTGTAAATTAACTTACCTCATACACCATGAAAAATCTCTAAATAAAAAATCATCAGCAGTCGGCATGTATATATGCATGGGCATTCCCACCCCCTCCCAGTATTATATGAAAGGATTATGAGAGTTTCGAGGGTTATGGAAATGAAGCAGTAGGCCATTTATGAGCCACATAATAACACACCAACCTATGGTGAAAGCGCTGTTGGTTTTCTTAACTCGTCTATCGGCATCTTTGAATTTTACATATCATCTTGCTCTAATGCCCCACCATATATACTGCACAAAAAGGTTAAGCAGATTATTGGATATTTTCACGTATGCTTCGCATAATTAACATGAGAATATGACACCGGCCCCAAAAAAACAGGTTAATTAACTACATTCAGGCACACGCTTCAGTATTTAGGTTCATTCTCTCTTTTCCCTGTCCTCCTCTAATTCAATGCAATTGTATGCATGCGTTGTATGTATTCATTTTTTGGTGATTAACAATGAGGGTTGCAACAGAAACAGAAACTTAACCTCATTCGCATCATCAAGAGAAAGGGCCGAAAGGACTTTGGGGTCTTGTCTTGGCTTCCATCGATGTAATGAAGCAACGGATGGAATATGCCTTGGCTAGCCAGCTCCGGTGTGCTGGCTGAGAAAACCTCCTCAATACCTAAATATAAACGTCTGATCGATGCATATGTATGTATCATTCACAGTCATATGGTTGCGACTCCTTACCTACTCCGACACCAGTTTTATGTTCATTACTATAACGTGCACGCATGCATGTTCCCAAGCTAAGAGCTTCGTATAATCATGTGGTCATAATTAAATAGGTTGGCTTCATGGGACAGACACGCAGATTCATTTGACACATACATATATCTATTACGGGAACATAATCAAATACATACATATCAATCACACTTGTGTTTGTTGTCACAGATCATACACCAGTAGAACGATGCCATCCGTCGTCTTCTTCAATCCTTATTTTCCAATTGTGCGTACCCTTCCCCGTCGCTGCCTTCCTCTGATGTCTTACCAGCCTTCCACAGCAATTGCTGCTTCACTCCCTTTGGCATTCATTTTTTGACAATTCACAATTAGCAAAGGATATTGGCCGCCAAGCACGCCACCTGCGGATCTGTATATTTAATTTTTTATCTGTACAATCCCAACGGGTTCAATTTAAAAGTTTCAAATGATAATTTTTAGATGAAAGAATATTATTTGAACAATCGGTGGTTAAAAGATAATTTTTATTTTAAATTCGGTACATATTATAAGAATTCTAGCTCACCATGGGATTAAAAGTGGGGCGAGTGTGTATGGGTCCCGTATTCTATAGGAGAAGGGGTTAGAGTTGTGAAAATTAAAAAGAAAAATGTAAATCACTGGGATCAAAACCACAGGAAAAAAACTTCGGTGCCTATGATAGTATGGAAGCCTCTTACAGTGGGCGGCCAGGAGCAAGAAAGCCAAGAATAACACTGTAACAGTGTACATGGGGCGCATTCCAATTGCTTGCTAACATTAACTGTTAGTGCTTTGTTAGACAGGCTTAACCCAAGTTAGAATGACAGCCGTAGTTAACGGCCGGACCGACAATTAGACGGAAGGCTAACGGTAAACACATGCGTGGCGGCGTAGGGCGAGCATGGGTTAGGACAGTTGTCACATCTTTACGGGACTCTTGACTTTTTGGTCCCATTTGTTTCAGCCGACGCTAATATCGCCTGTTATTGTAATTAATTTTCACTGTAATTCTTCTTAACATTCAAACAAAAGGATCTTAATTCATAAAATAATAACTTGTGGAGTTATTTGCAGTAGTAATAACAATAACGCTAGTAGTATTGTATTGTCGGCGGGGGCATAAAGCATGAAACGGGCGGGAGTGAGGATGAATCCAGCGGCGCGTGCGAGTGCAAAAGAGGCGGGGCGGCATGGTTGGTAAGCCTGCATCAGGCTCCTTCTGAGTGACACGTGTGGATCCTTTGAATTTCCTATGGGCCCGCCGTCTCTGAATTTAGCTGGCTCGCATTTATTGGCTGGTTTATGAGCCCTGCCCCATCGCCGCCGCTCAGCGCCCACACCTACGCGCCCTGCGCCTCTTTTCACCTCTGCCCCTGCCCGGCGGAGTCCCAACTGAGTGGCACCCCTGTTATTCTACATTTTGTTGTAACACAATTCACAACAAATTTATCATTATCATACAAAATTTTGATATCATTACTTTAGAAATTAAATGAAACTTTGAGCCACTGAACATTATTTTTTAAAACCTGTTCACAGTGATTCCATAGAATCAAATTCTTAAAATACAAATTTAGAAAATAAATTTTGCTTTCAATAATACTTTTTGTCAGATTTGGCCTTCGTACGTAATTTTCCCCGTCCTTTTCCTTGTTTCCGTCCAAACCAGGCTCCTACTCTCTCTCTAGCCCCCTCATCTTACCGTCACGGCGCGTCCCTGTCTTTCCCCGTCTCTGACGCAAACTAGTACCTATAATAATTGCACTCGCGCTCGTTTATTTGCCGGCTGTTCCAGGCGAGAGTGTCCGGTGATCATTCGTAAAATCAATGGCCGCATTATCCACGCGTTAATTGGCGGCGTCTGAATTTTATCTTTTTGGTGTGCTTTCCCGAATTGGAAGATTTTATCCGATTTCGTGACGTTTTGATTTGGATAAGCGGTTTGGATTTTCTGCTAGTAGGTTGTTTGTTTGTCGCTCCCAAGCCTGCGCGCCTTAATGCTTCTGAGAATTTTGTTCTGAGGTGCTTCCTTAACCAACGTACAGAACTTTAGTTCCGCGGAAATTCTGCAGTCATTAGCGGTTGAAGGCTGTCGTGACTATGTAGATTTGGTCTCCTGCCATTTTTTATATGGTCGGATCTTGGAGATACCGACTGTTATGAGTTGGAGACGGCAAAAAAGGAAAGAAGTATTTCCAGATTTAAGCCACATTTAGGGTTTTTTTGCCATTTCATTTCATCTCGCCTTTTCTTTTCGAGCTCTGCATTGATCGAATTGGGAGAGCAATCGAATCCTCCAGATTTAAGCCACATAGGTTGAGTTTGGCTGGTTGTTAGTGCGCTGAGTGGAGGATTGTGAAAGCATTGGTCCGAGTGAAGCAGGGTTGAGGGGAGTGAGAAGAAGTTCGTAGTGCATAGAGATCAGCATTGGGAAGGCTGATGGGCTTGAAGACATTTGGCGAGGGTAGGGTTGAGAAGCTGAGAAATTCTATGACGGTATCCTCAAGGTCGAGAATGAAACTGTGGCTAATACGTGCCACAACGTCCGTTTTGCTATGGACATGCATTGTCCAGTTAACTGCTTTGGGTGACATGTGGGGGCCTAGAGTTTTGAAAGGGTGGCCGTCCTGTTTCACTCAGGAGTCGGCGATCAGGGTATTGGATACCGAGTTGCCTGCTGCGCGTCCCAGAGTTCTTCCACCCAAGAGTGAGTTTTCTCTGTCTATCATCATTTTTCCGCTGGACTTGATCGTGACTGTGGACACGCTTGTTTACTGAAATCAATTTCGATTGTATTAATTCTTGTTTTGTATCCCAGTAGTCGTTCAGCCGATTTCTTTTAGTTTTCAAAATTTTGTTTCCAGTTGGGATGAAAGCAACAATTTCTATTGGTATTTTAATCTCTAACCCCCTGTTATGCCCTTATATCAATCGACCCGCATTAATTTTCTTCTGGAACTTCACACGGTTACTTTTGAACGATATTGAATCTTCAGTCATTGATTTCTTCGTGTTACCGTTCTCTGCTTTATCTGAGTTCCTTCTTGATAACCTACTTATCCTCAGGAGTTTATAAGAACAACGGTTACCTAATGGTCTCATGCAATGGAGGATTGAACCAAATGAGAGCAGCGGTGAGTAGTTGATGCATGTGTTTGGCATATGCCTTTTTTTCCTTCCGTTCTTGCTGGTGCAACTAGGCTATGATATGGCTTCCCACTCTCTCCATATGCGTTTCTGAGTGTCTGATATGCATGATGTACAGATATGTGACATGGTAACCATTGCAAGATATTTAAATGTCACACTTATAGTCCCTGAACTGGATAAGACCTCCTTCTGGGCGGATCCCAGGTGTGTCCTTGATTCTATCTTGGTTTATGCTCTATCAAAAGCAGTATCAGTTTGCATTGACGGACATCTTTCTTTTCACATAAAATTGACCTAGGATCTCATCTCTAAATGACTGTTCACTGCGTTTTATGTTGCAGTGAGTTCCAAGACATATTTGATTTGGATCATTTTATTACATCCTTGAGAGATGAGGTACGAATATTGAAAGAGTTGCCGCCTAGACTCAAGCGGAAAGTGGAACGTGGGATGATTTATAGTATGCCACCAATTAGTTGGTCTGACATATCTTACTATAAGAAACAGGTCAGTATCAATTAGGTTTAGGCCACTAGGTTCAAGAGATGATGACATTGAAGCATGCCTCATGTTAACTCCTCTCTTACCTCACTTTGCGGCCTTTAAATTGACGTGCTCAAGTTCTCCTTTACTAATTGTAAATGATGGAACCGGAATATTGTTTTGTGCAGATTCTACCGTTAATTCAAAAGTATAAAGTTGTCCATCTTAATCGAACTGATGCTCGATTGGCCAATAATGGCCAACCTTTGGAGATTCAGAAGCTGCGTTGCCGGGTTAATTTCCATTCTTTGAGATTTACTTCTCAGATAGAGGAATTGGGCAGAAAGGTGATCAGGCTTCTAAGGCAAAAGGGTCCGTTTCTGGTACTTCACCTGAGATATGAGATGGATATGCTGGCATTTTCTGGCTGCAATCAAGGTTGCAACAGTGAGGAGGCGGAAGAGTTGACAAGAATGAGGTGATAAGATTTCTGCATGCTTTGCCTGTTCTGTTTTCAAAATTTTGTAATCACAGTGGAGGATTGACAGCAGTTTCTCATTAATCTATTGTGCGCTCGTAGATATGCCTATCCGTGGTGGAAAGAAAAAATCATTAATTCTGATTTGAAAAGGAAGGATGGTTTGTGCCCTTTAACTCCTGAGGAGACCGCCCTTACACTTAGGGCTCTTGACATTGATCAAAACATTCAAATCTACATTGCAGCTGGGGAGATATATGGTGGTGAAAGGAGGATGGCAAGCCTTGCGAGGGAATATCCAAAATTGGTAACTACTTAAGCGTTCACCCAAGCCTTATTGTTGAGTTTGGGATTCTTGTTCATGCCTTTACTTTCTTACTGTTTGTCCCCGGGTCAAAACAGGTCAGGAAGGAGACACTGCTAGAACCATCTGACCTCCAGTTCTTCCAAAATCATTCATCTCAGATGGCAGCATTGGATTATCTTGTCTCCTTAGAGAGTGATATCTTTGTCCCCACGTATGATGGTAATATGGCCAAAGTGGTTGAAGGTCATCGCAGGTACATTTTGCTAATGATTTGGTTTCAGTAAAGACATGTTAATTACTTGAATACTGTTCTTTCTCCTTTCCCTCTGAATGAACAATTTTTTAATTGTTTGATGTTTCTCCTCATAATAGCAAACACTTGTTATTAAACTATATCTTCTTTGGAGATTTTCTGTGTATTCACCTCAATCTAGAGACTCTAATTCTATTTATCGAAACAAGGTTTGTATCCATTGTTAATAAGCGAAGGGGTTAAAACTCCATGGGCAATTTTTCTAGTATTTTCATCTGTCTGATAGCCGTCTTTGTTATATTCATCATCATTGCTATTACTATTGTTATCATCATCACTATTATTAGGATGATCATTAATGCTTCGAGGTAAAGTAAAATAACTTATCCTTCAATACCTCCGCAGATATCTTGGATTTAAGAAATCAATCCTATTGAACAGAAAGCTTCTAGTTGATTTGATAGATCGGTTCAACAATGGAATTCTGAACTGGGATGAATTCTCATCAGCTGTGAAGGAAGCTCATGCCAATCGCATGGGTAGCCCAACTAAAAGGTTAGTCATCCCCGACAGGCCCAAAGAAGAGGATTATTTCTATTCAAATCCAGAGGAGTGTTTAGGAACATCAGATGAACGTTTGAGTAGTACGTGAGTAATATGTTTGGAAGACGGTGGAATTTCTTGTTCGCTCTGGTGCCACTTGGTTTTGTCCTCGATGTTAAGAATGTTTTCTGCACAGTTTTGGCGAAGACAGCTTTTTGTATCAAAGAGGCAGTCAATGGTGACTGTCAAGGGGGATAGACTTGGTGAGAAGCTCCTGACTACTGAGGTGGAGCAAAGCAGCTGGGCAATACCTTGTTATAATATAGATGCAAATAATTCATCACATTCATGTATAGAAGCTACCCTGCCATTACAGGGAAAGGGCTGATCATACTGCTTTGTACGCGGAAGAAATACATGCAGATTTGGACTTCTGGAACTGCGGTTTGTGGTTGAAAGCTGGATTCCTTGGTTCCTTTTTTCTTTCCCATATCCTCATATATAAATTTTGTTTCGGGTTTCTGCGCCTTCTTCTTCTTCTTTTTTTTTAACCACCATGGTCTTTGCATTTTCAGGCTTATACTCAGTATAAGATTTGTGTTTGGGTAGATTAAGCTTCCAGTTACTCGTTTTTGGTCTATTATTGAGGGAATAACAGACTGGATTATCAATCATTGATCACGCATTGTATGTAGGTAATGACGTTGTATTGACTTGTTCGATTTTTTGTCCAATCTTAATTGGCAGCCGCTGTCTTATTCGTATTGCCCACATTTTCTTTTAAATCAGTAAAACAAACTAAAGAATAAATAGGTTTTTCTTTGAAGTCTTTGTTGTGCTTATGGGTGTTTTAGGCCAGCCCATCCTGCTCCCGATCTTATTGACAGGATGGCTTCGAAAGGGGACAGACTGGGATTGAGACGGGGCAAAAAAAAGATTGGGATTGGAGGTGAATATTCGGTTTTTCAGTTCAGTTATTAGTGATAACCGAATTAACCGAATAAAGTAAATTTTAAACACTGAACCGAAACCGATTAACCGAACTAACTGAAACCGAATTAACCGAAAATTTCGGTTCGGTCAACCGATTAACTGAAATATATAAATATGGAAAATGATTTTAAATTAAAAATAATAATAAAACATAATTACAACTATTAATTAATAAATATTTCATCATTTAATGTGATTTATTATAATAATATTTATTATAACCATATTTATTGAATATAAATATATTTAAAAAGTTCACATATACCTATATATATTTATTATAATAATATTTATTAAATATAAAAATATGATATATTTATTTCGGTTATTCGGTTATAATTGAAAATTTTTTTTTCTACTAACCGAACCGAACAAATTGTTTAAAAAATAAAAACCGAATATATAACCAAAAACCGAAATAACCGAAACGAAAAACAGAAATTAAATTCAGTTCGGTTCGGTTCGGTTATGGTTACGGTTCGGTTTTACTCACCCCTAATTGGAATGGGATGTGAGTCTTTTTACCTTTTTTTTTTAATCATATTTTTTAATACATATTATCATTATTAAATATTAAAAACAAATAAAATAATAATATCCCCAAGCCCTAATTTTCCTAACTGGTTCATATCTCCCACTAATTAAGCTTGCGGTCATCCACCCTCCGCCCCTCCGCTTTCTCTGTTCTCCCATTCTTTTCAAAGTTCGATTCTCTAGTCTCACTCCCAAGCTCCCACCGGCAGCCCCTATGAAAGTTGCTGTCCCTTTTCTCCATTCCATTGAAGTCCCCTTTCTCTGTTCTCCCATTCTCTTCGAACTTCACGGTTCAGATCTCACTCTCCGTCCCCTTTCTCCGTCCTGATTGGAAGTATGAAACTTCACGGCTTCCCTCCGACCTCCAGTCTGTCGTCGACGTCGGATCTGTGTTCAGTCTATTGAATGTTGTGATTGCTGTCCCATCTCGCCTCAGCTCCTCTCTAGACCCTTCTGATACCTGTGACTTTTTGTTGCTTTTCTCCATCCATTCTTGTTGAGTTCGAATCGGCAAGACTTGCAGTCTGATTCTTCATTCTCATCAAATTTTATTTTAATTACATTTTACCTTATTATATAAAATTTCTGGTTAATATTGTTGATTGAGGATCTGAACTGGTATGAACATATGGATGCTTTTGTTTGTCTTAGGCTAATTTTATCCCCTGTTACAATCAATGAAGCTAATTGCTATTGTTTAATTCTTATTTGTAGAAGAATCAGCAGCTTCAAATTTGTTAAATGAAGAGGAACCACCAAATAACCATTGAATCTTGTATTGTGTGATCGATGGATTTGGTTGTGTTGTTTTCTGGTTTATAATATTTTGAATGCGAATGCTTATACGTTTTGGACAAGTTTATAATTACTGTGTGGTTATTTGGTCATAGATTATTTCTTATGTTTTTTAAAATTTGGGAGTATCGTATGGATTTGGGACAAGTTTATAATTCTGGCTCTTAATAATTTGTGTTTTTAAGGCTTATATGTTTTTTAAGATTTGGGACCAATTTATAATCAGATTTCATTATAGGCCCAGCAACTCCAAAAATGGAAAAAAAAAATCATACCGAGATGTTCTAGTCCTGTCTTATCCAGGTTAGAATTGGGACGAGACGGGACATGGGACAGTTTTTCTATCCTGTGAAATGGTTCATCAGTCTGAAACCAGGACAGGTCTGTTTTAGTCCAGATTTGTCCCATAAACAACCCTAGTTGTGCTACAGATAGATGACGAAGACAATCCTCGTGCCACCAACCCCTCTGTCTCTTGAGATATTCCATCATGTCCCTTGATTAATGATTGGGTGAATCTGCTTGGCACAGTAAGAGTTGGTTTAGTTATTAAGAAGTTAATAACTCACAAGATTGTGAGTCCGAATTACACTCTGTGATGTGTAAATACCTTTATAAGCAATCTTTAAGTTTGAAGGTATGCTTTGCTCTGGTGTGTTTTTAGATCCAATTCATTTAAACTGTTTTTTTTTTTTTATATGGATTGAAACTTGATGTATTAAAACTAAACTTCACACCAGTTTGGCAGAGAGAGATTATATTAGTGTTTTTTTTTTTTTTATGCTGAAGGAAATGTCATTTCAGTCCAGAAAGTTATTTTGTGAAATTGCGACTTCCTCTCGGTGATGAGAACAGAGATTTAAATTTTTTGCATTTAGTTAATAAATTTACAGGACATATTTCAGAAAAAGTCAGAAAATAAGAAATAGTCGAAGAAAGAAAGAAAGAAATTATAATGTATATATTAAATATATATTCTATGTCAATACGTAATACTCCTTCCCGTCTCATTTATAAGGGAAAAAACCGGCTTACGCTTCTTTAAAAAGCTAGTTATTAGGTTTAAAGTTGAAATTTTTTCCTCACATGTTCTTAGTAATAATTATAGTAATTTATTGTAATACTCTCTCAGCTTTGATATGTACTATTCAGCTCCAAAAAAAAAAAAAGAAGGCGTGATTAACTTTTTTTGAATTTTTGCTTCATTGATTACGGGTGTGTTTGGAAAAGTGATTCTGGAGAATAGATTCTGTGGAAAATAAATTTTGTGGAGAATAGATTCTAAGAAAAAGTGATTCTGAGAAGTAAGAGTGTTTGGATAGTTATTACTAGAAGCACTTTTTACATGTGGAAATTACCAAAAAGGGTATAAGTTAATATGATAATTATATAAGGGATAGATTTTATGATTTATTTTGATTTGAAGAAATAAAATTGTTAATGAAAATTTTTTTACTAACATAATTAATAATATATAAAATAATATAATTAATACATAATTAATATGTGTACATAGATTTATAAAACATAATATTAAATATGTTTATAGAAAAATGATTTTTTTATAACAAAAAAATATTAATTTTCTTTAAAGATTGTAAACGTAACAACAACTATCAAAAATATTAATATATATTATTGTGGGGTGTTGTGTGGACCGACTGGGAAGAAGGCGTGAACGAGGAGAGGAATTATTGAACACAGAGCAAGTATTGAACACCTGAATAATTGGAGGCTTTGGTCATTTGTGGAGGGGCCCACCGTTCGTTTCAGCAATTGGACCCGAGAAGCAGATGAGAGATGCTGCCGTCCAAACCATGGTTTCATCGCTTGAAACCATGGTTTTACTTGAACCAAGGTTTGTTTAATTTGTCTGGCTGTTTGGATGGTATTTTGTGCAAACTATGGTTTGGGCTTCCAAACCAAGGTTTGCAATGCCATCCAAACGGTGCCTAAACATGTTGCATCAGTCCATAACGCACTCCCTTTTACTTTGCTTTTTCTTAACTCATTTTCTCTCGCGCTCTCTTTCCTTATTTATAAAGATATGTTTGAGAAAAGCACATTTTTAACCTTTAGATAAGCGTTGATATAATTTTTATCTCTCAAGTTTCAAATCATAGCTTTTAGTTTTTTAATGAGTAAAATAGTTTAACTTTTTATTGGATTATAAATACTAATGTTTTAAATGAAAAAAAAACTTGAGGAGTTAAAACCTATGATTTGAAACTTAAAGAACCAAAACCAAAATAAAGACAAACTTAGAGGACTAAAATTTATATTAACCTTTTAGATAATTCATTGAAACGGTCATTAAACGTTTAAACTTGGAAATATGATGAGACTTTGTACCCCTAACAAAAAGTGCCCTATCCTCCTTACGGTTAGTCATGCACTACATAATTTCCGATATTACGTTCAATATAGTATGAGCTGTGATTCATGATCAATCAAATAAGTATGTTTTGGTTGAAGAAGCAGCTTCTTCTTCTTCATCCTAAACTTATATATTCTTTTATTAGAAGTAATTTTGTTTGAAATACTATCAGACACTAAATATGAGCATATTTCATAGCGACGATTTAAATCTTAATTTGCTATATTATGGGAGGTCAACTCCTTCCATTAGATTCAACTTTTGTTGTTTTTTTTAAATTGGGTATACTAGCTTCGTTGGTTGAAGAAGGAGCTTCTGGATGTGCGTTGATAAAAGAAAAGGTCTTCATTCAGTGCTTATCACATGGTGCTCATCAATGTAATGTAGTATAAACCATCTAAAATCTAATATAGATGGTTCGTATTTAAAGTTTTTAATACACAATTTTTTCAATAATAAATTTATTTTTTAAAGATATGTTAGTTATGATATTATATTTATTTTAAATTCTATATCTATTAAAACAAAAAGTTGTTGATTAAAATATATAAAAAGTTTAAATTCAATCTAAACCATCTAAAATCAATTTGAACAGTCCAAATTGCGATGAGCATGGAATGTGCTCTCTAAAAAGAAGCCCAATTTTATAGTGTTTTGACTCCAATTGTGAGGGAATGAAATGAGCCAAGCAATCTCAGAATGGCTCAAACCCCTAACAGTTTATAAAACAACTCCCACTGGTCGAATCACCCAAGTTGCCCACCACGTAAGCGGTAAATCCCATGTTTCCTTTCCATAATGGCATAATCTGCTCCGCCTTGAACAGATACAAGTAGAAAAATAATAACTAAAAATAAATAAATAATTTCATTTAAGTCATTTGTATCATGTCTTTGTCAAATCAGTAAGAAATATTTTCGTTTTGTATTTTTGAGAAAAAAAAAGCGAAAAGTTGATAATTTGATCCTTCCCTTAGTGTTGATGAAAGGGTGGGTTGGGTATTCTCATTCAAAACACGGTTGATTGCTTCAAAAGAATCACACTAAA